CTCTCTCATCAATGTTTCTGACTTTCTATCCCTCTCCCTTCCTCTCACGAAAAAATCAGTAAAATATGTTTTGTTTTTTAATTAAAAAATAAATAAATGGTGTTGGGAACATTGGACAGATACATGCAAAAAAAAATGAAACTAGACCACCAATTTCCACCATACACAAAAATAAACTCAAAATGGATAAGTGACTTAAACGTAAGATGGGAAACCATAAAAATCTTAGAATAATCCATAGGCAACAAAATATCAGACATAGCTCCTAGTGATATGTTTGCTGATACATCTCCTAGGGTAATGGAAACTAAGAAAATAAATCTGACTACACAAAAATAAAAAGCTTCTGCACAGCAAAAGAAACATCAACAAAACACTAAGTCCACTGCATGGGAGAACATATTTGCCAATGTCACATCCAATAAGGGACTAATCTCCAAAATTCATAGAGACGATAAAGATAACCCATTAAAAAGGGGGGCAAAGTACTTAAATAGATACTTTTAGGAAGTGGACATACAGAAGGCCAAGAGACATATGAAAACATGCTCAAGAGGCACTAATCATCTGAGAGATTCAAATCAAAATGACAGATACCATCTCACAACTGTCAGAATGGCTATTATCAACAAATTGACAAAAGACAACTGCTGGTGAGAAGGTGGAGAAAAAGGAAACCCTGTGCACTGCTGGTGGGAATTCAGACTGATCCAGCCATTGTGGAAAACAGTATGGAGTTTCCTCAAAAATTAAAAATGAAACTCCCATTTGACCCAGTGATCCCACTATTAGGAATTTATCCCAAGAAATCAGAAATACCAATCAGAAAAGACATATGCACCCCTATGTTCATAGCAGTACAATTTATAAAAGCTAAGATTTGGAAATAGCACAAGTGCCCATCAAGCAGATGAGTGGATTAGCAAACTGTGGTACATCTACACAATGGAATACCATGCTGCTGTAAAATAGAACACTTATTTGCAATACATTGGATGGATATGGAGAGCATTATGCTAAGCGAAATAAGCCAGTTAGAAAAAGAAATATTATATGACCTCATTTATGGAATGTAATGAACAACATGAACTGATGAACAAAAAGATCGAGAGACAGAGAATCGTGGAACAGACTGTCAAACTTGAGAGGGAGGCAGGGAGGGGGATGGGATGTAAGAGATCAACCAACGGACTTGTATGCATGCATGCCTATGAGCGTAACCAATGAACACAGACAGCAGGGGGATAAGGGTATGTGCTGGGAGGAAGGGGTGGCTGAGGAGAGGTCATTGGGGGGAAAAGGAGACTTATGTAATACTTTAAACAAAGAATTTAAATTTTTAAAAAGGGAGTTGAATATAACAGGATAAATTCTGTTTAGAGGCCTGTTCAAATGAAATCTGACTTAGGGTGGTGAGCACACAATACAATAGATTTTGTGTCTTAGAATTGTGCCCCTGAAACTGTATTAAAAAAAAAAAAAAGTCAATAAAAACGAAAAAAAATAACAAATGAAGTCTGAAATATATACATTACATTTTGGCAAGTTATAGCTACTTAGTTAAAACTAATTTAAATTTAGAGAGATGTCAAAACCCAAATTGAATAAGAAATAAATGAAGGAATTGAGCCACGTGATTGTTGATTAGACTTTTAAGAGGGTTGAATGAGAAAAGAATTGAAACAAGTAATTGGTAGTTTAGGGGTTGGGTGAGAAGGGATCCTTGAATATTAGAGAGCATGTTTTTAGGTTGTTGGAAATACACTGTGTGGAGAATGAGATTAAGGACAGTTTGATAGCTGAAGTGGAATCTGGTAGAACCAAAAGCTCTGGCTGAGATTCTTACCGTGAAGGGAGCTTGAGTTAAAGTTTGTAAATGATAAAACTCTTGGAATGTAGCCATTTCTGAACTCTTAGCAGCTCTTGATTTCTATTTTTAAAAAATGTTTATTGGTTGATTTCAGAAAGGAAGAGAGAGAAATATTAATGATAAGAGAATATCATTGATTGGCTGCCTCCTGCATGCCCCATACTGAGCATCGAGCCTGCAACCTGGGCATGCGCCCTAATCAGGAGTCATACTGTGACCTCCTGGCTCATAGGTCAATGCTCAATGCCATCTTGGCTTGAATCCTATTTTTATATTTAAAAAATATTTTAGGAGACATATGAAAACCTGCTCAAAGTCACTAATCATCCAAGAGATGCAAATCAAAACAACAATGTGTTATCATTCACATCTGTCAGAATGGCTATCATCAACAAATCAACAGATGACAAGTTCTGGCGAGGATCCAGAGAAAGAGGAACACTTGTGCATTGCTTTTGGGAATGCAGACTGGTACAGTCACGTGGAGAACAGTATAGAGTTTACTAAAAAAAAAAAAAAAAAAAAACTAAAAATGGAACTCTCATTTGAACCAGTGATCCCACTTCTAGGAATATATCCCAAAAAGCTAGAAACACCGATCAGAAAGGATCTATTCACCCCTATGTTCATAGCAGCACTATTCACCATAGCTAAGATTTGGAAACAGCCTAATTGCCCATCAGCAGATTAAGTGGATTAAAAAACTGGTACATCTACACAATGGAATACTACACTCCGATAAAAAAGGAGTTCTTATCATTTGCCATAACATGGATGGAGCTAGAAAGCATTATGCTAAGTGAAATAAGCCAGGCAGAGAAAGATAAATATCACATGATCTCATTTATGGAAAATAATGAAAAACATAAACTGATAAAAACAGATCCAGAGACAGAGAAATAGTGATCAGAACATCAAACCTCAGGAAGGTAGGAAAGGGTGGGGGTAAGGGTGAGAGATCAACCAAAGGACTTGCCTGCATGCATATAAGCCTAACCAATGGACACACAATGCGGGAGTGAGGGCATGAATGGGGTTGGGGGTAATGGAATAAGAATATGTGTAATATCTTAGTTAAGAAAAATTTTAAAAATAGTCAAAAAATATTTTAGAAGATACTACCTTTTTCAGACTGCAATTTAGAATATTAAGGAAGGATTTTCAGGCAACTTGGAAAACTGTTGAAATTGGTTACCACAAACTTGTAGTTAACAATAATTTGCTCATTTGTGAGATACAGAAAAAGCTCATGATTGTAATGATTTTACATTGCAGCTTTGCCAAGCCAGGTGCAAGAGAAGGACAATTGTAGGAAATTGGTTGTAATGAGATAATGGTGATGTACAAAAGGAGAAGCAAAGATAGGAAAGAATGCTGGTGACATAGTTGAATGTTCAAGGGAATGACAGTCTTGGTGGTGAGGTGCATTGGCAAGTAATGTGAGAGCTGCCTAGGGTCTGTGTTGCCATACTCTGTGGCTGTCCTTTTCACTGACCACTCCTCAGCTTCCCTTTTAGGAATTCTCCTTATACTTAGCCCTTATAGTAGTATGTGGTGTCCCTCATGGTGCTCTAGAACAGCAGTGACCTACTGGTGGTCCATGGACCACTAGTGATCTGTAAGGTCCGAAAGTTTGGCGACCGCTGCTCTAGACTATGCTTTAATTTATTTTCCTATACTTTCCTCTTGGAAATATTAATTTACTAGACTAAAAGTATGGCTATGTCCTCTTATATTTTGTCTGTTGAATTACCCATGATTGTGGAAAAATTGGCACGAAAGAGTTAGGATAGATTCATTCTTCTAGAAGCCGCTTGGATATGAGAAAAGGGCATACAATGATAGAGGCAGGATTTATGTTCCTCAATAGAACAGGTGTTTATACTTATGGAGATATGGATAATGATCTCACAGCATTTGTAGACACTAATTCACCTCCTAAGCCAGGGTTTATGAGATGGAGAATAAGCAACCCATATTTGAGGAGGCTTCAGGGAAACCCTGTCTTTTGAGAAGGAGTAGATCTACCATTTCCATTGACTGTAGAGGCCAAAGGGAAGTTTTCAGTGAAGAAGGTATTTGAGATGCAGGGGAGTTTGTTTACTGTAGAACAAGGAGGGTCCACAGAGGAAATGTTTGAATGGGAGTAATATTATAGCTAACTGCAGAGTTTTCACAAGAGTAAGTCGAAAAAAGTAATTGATAGAGAGGCAGGAGCAGGGAGGTCTGGATAGTTCCCTGCCTGTCTGGGATCGGCCAAGGCTTGGATTGGTAGGATGTTAAGTCAGTAGGGTGGCACAAACATTAATATTAAGAAAATTGAAAACACCAGTTAGGGAAATAATTTTAAGAAAAAATGAGGTCCAAAATAATGGGCTTCCAGTTCTTTTGTTGAGTAACTTGTGATGTTATTAATAGAAACATTAGACACAGAGAAGAAGAGAGAAGCAAGTTACAATTTATTGTTTTAAGTACTCTCTTTCAGTTGAAATAAACCTGCCTAACTAAACTAAATCTTCAAAATCATTTCTACAAAAGTATCTTCTTAAATGAGAATACATTGAATGGAAAGGTTTATTTTATAGCTTATAAAATCATATGGTAAGTAATTATTGGATTGTGGATATGAGATCTTTTAAAACTATTGATAATCAGTGATAATTTCTTTTCTTTTTTTAAAATATATTTTATTGATTTTTTTACAGAGAGGAAGAGAGAGGGATAGAGAGTTAGAAACATCTATGAGAGAGAATCATCGATCAGCTGCCTCTTGCACACACCCTACTGGGGATGTGCCCGCAACCAAGATACATGCCCTTGACCGGAATCGAACCCGGGACCTTTCAGTCCGCAGGCCGACGCTCTATCCACTGAGCCAAACCAGTTTCGGCTGATAATCAGTGATAATTTCAATACAGTATGAGTTTGCTTTATACTACAAACTAAATTTTATATAGATTTCTATGAGGTCTAAAAGCAATGCTTAAAGTTTTATTATCTATAAATTTGTTTTTGTAATCTATACATTGAAGCATTATAGAAAAAATGGTGAGTACTTATTCAAAAGAATTGCTAGATATGTATTTGCTTTAGGATTATTAAAAATTAAATGTTAATTTTCTTTCTGTAGTCCAAACCCCTGATACCTCTTCAAAATGAGACTGATTCAGAGACTCAGAAAATGGTGCTTACTAACTACATGTTCCCTCAGCAGCCAAGGACTGAAGATGGTAAGAATTTAAGAATGTCTTTTCTTTAATATATGTATATATCTATATGTGTGTGTGTGTGTGTGTGTGTGTGTGTGTGTGTGTGTGTGTGTGTAATAAAAGGGCGATATACCAATTGACCCTAATGACGGAACACCCAGGAACCACGGATCACTATGATGTGCACTGACCAACAGGGGGCAGATGCTCAATTCAGGAGCTGCCCCCTGGTGGTCAGTGTGCTCCCACAGAGTGAGCTCTGTTCAGCATCATGCAGGCTGATGGCTGCAAGTACAGTCATGGTGGCAGGAGCCTCTCCAGCCTCCTTGGCAGTGCTAAGGATGCCTAAGTGGGCCTAAGCTGCAGATGGTCATCCCTTGACAGCTCCCAGGCTGCCAGAGGAATGTCTAATTGCCAGCTTAGACCTGATTCCCCGTGGAGCAGGCCTAAGCCCAAAGGTGGATATCCCCCAAGGGGTCCTGGCTGGACTGAGGGATCCCTCTAAGTGCACAAATTTTCGTGAACTGGGCCTCTAATATATATATATATATTGTGTGTGTGTGTGTGTGTGTGTGTGTGTGTGTGTGTGTGTGTATTGAGGCCTGGTGCATGAATTTGTGCATTGGTGGGGTCCAGCCAGCCTGGCCAGGGGGAGGGGACATAGGGTGTCGGCTGACCTGGCCTACCTGCTGGTCGAACTCCTGGTCGAGGGGACAATTTGCATATTAGCCTTTTATTATATAGGATATACACTTAGTATATACACTAATATGATCTCTGAATCATAATAATATACACTATTATGATCTCTGAATCATAATAATCTGGCCAGTGTGTGTGTGTGTGTGTGTGTGTGTATGTGTGTGTAGATCTAGGGGGAGTCTACATAGGGGATGGGCAGAGGAGAAGTAAAGGGGGTGAGAGGGTGGAAATGGTAGACATCTCTAATATTTTCAACAATAAAAAATATATTAAAATAAGGATAAAATAATAATAACACTGGTAAATCACAACAAGTTGTGAAGTGAATTGTAAGTCTTCAAGACTTACTGGTTTGAAGGGAATTTGGAGAATCCTATATAATAAAAGGCTAATGTGCAAATTGACCAAACAGTGGAACTATGATGCACACTGACCACCAGGGGGCAGATGATCAATGCAGGAGTTGCCCTCTGGTGATCAGTGCGGCTCAGCCAGAAACTGGGCTCACAGCTGGCAAGTGCAGCTGTGGTGGCAGAAGAGGCAATAGAGCATCCCTCAAGGGCCCCAGTCTCCAAGGGGGCACAGGCCGAGCTGAGGGACACCCCCCCTTCTGAATTTCTTGCACCAGGCCTCTAGTTGGTTAATAAAGTTCTCTGAAAAAATGGATAATAAAACAATGTCTCAGGGTTATAGATAGTGGAAGTTAGAGGTAGCTGCATATAATGTACTTCCATAAATGATCCTTACAATTAAATAGCAAACATCTGTTATGGATCTCTCTATTCTAAATCACATTTAGGTAAATGTTGGGAACTTATGTTAAGTGTTATGTGATTAGGATTATTAAACCAGGAAATATTTTGTTCACTTCTGTTGCTGGTTGTAGAATTAACACTACCCTGGATAAAGATACACTAGGTAAAGAATAATCTGTAAAATTCTGAGTATTAATGTTACTTCTTCTAAGTTCTTAATTACATTTTACCAAGAAAGGGGAATGAATATACCAGTTATTATTCCACAAATGTTTTTCAACAATTATGGCATTAAAGCCTTCGAAATTAAGGAGCAAATTGTTTCTGTATGTGTTGTATTGTGTTTGTGTGTGTGTGATGTTTATTATATGTGGCACTTAAAAATATAACTTTTATATATTTTTCTGAAACCAGTGAGCAACTTTATAACCCCAAATTCATGATAAATTATCTCTCTCCCCCCCCAAATTATCTCTTAATACATAGAGACACTAAAGAAAAAAATCAGTTTTAATTTTAAAATAGACTATAAGCAATTTAAATAAATTCTTAAGCTTCAGTTTTCTTATCTTAAAATAATAAAACCTGCTTTGCAGGGATTTTGTAAAAAAGAAAAACACTGGTTATAAAGTGCTTAACAGTGTGACAAAATCAATTTGCCTGTTAATATTCTTACATTGTTTTGTCAGGTTTAGTACACAGCTTTGAAATACTTAAATAGATTAAAACTAAAATAATTTCACTTTTGTTCCATAACTAGTGATAAATAATTAGAAACTCATTACTTCACTATGTATGCTAATTATTTATTGCTTTTTGCAAGAAGAAATAAAAGATATGCTTTGGTTAGTTATTTTGTGGGTATATTTAATGAGATTTATTTTGATGAAACAAATGTTTAGCTTTAGAATTGAATTATCAAGTAATAGTTTCTCATTATTACTCTAAAATATAGTGGATTTTTTGTTTGTTTTTCTAGTTATGTTCATATCAGATAATGAAAGTTTTAACCCTTCATTGTGGGAGGAACAGAGGAAACAGCGGGCTCAAGTGGCATTTGAATGTGATGAAGACAAAGATGAAAGGGAGGCGCCTCCTAGGGTGAGTGTTCTTTCCTCCTTCAATATATATATAATTTTATTTTATTTTATTTTTTACAGAGAGGAAGAGAGTGGAATAGAGAGAAACATTGATGAGAGAGAAACATTGATCAGCTGCCTCCTGCACACCCCCTACTGGGGATGTGCCCGCAACCAAGGTACATGCTCTTGACCAGAATCGAACCAGGGACCTTTCGGTCCACAGGCAGATGCTCTATCTACTGAGTCAAACCAGTTTCGGCCCTCCTTTAAATTTGAAACAGAACTGCTGATACTTATTGGGTACTGTATACCCACTATAGACCCAAGGCATGAAATTCATGCAAGAGTAGGCCTTCCGCCGAGACCGGTTTGACTCAATGGATAGAGCGTCGGCTTGGGGACTGAAGGGACCCAGGTTCGATTCCGGTCAAGGGCATGTACCTTGGTTGCGGGCATATCCCCAGTAGGGGGTGTGCAAGAGGCAGCTGATCGATGACTCTCTCTCATCGATGTTTCTAACTCTCTATCTCTCTCACTTCCTCTCTGTACAAAATCAATAAAATATATTTAAAAATAATAATAAATCTCTTTTAAAAAAAAAAGAGTAGGCCTTCCTTTCCCCAGCTGCTGGCACCAACTTCCCTCTGGCATCTAGGATCCAGGCTTTCCTGACAGCCCTTGCTTCATCCAGTCTAAATAGTATATTACACTTTATAACTACTGGTCTGGTGCATGAAATTCATGCACGGGGGCGGGAGGGGGGAGGTGTTTGTAGGATGTTCTTCAACCTGGCCTACTCCCTCTGAAATCGAACCCCTCGGGGAATGTCCGACTGCCGGTTTAGGTCCGACACCACCCAGCAGTCAGACATCCCTCTCACAATCCAGGACTGCTAGCTCCTAACCACTCACCAGTCTGCCTACCTGATTGCCCCTAACCACTCTTCCTGCCAGCCTGCTAGTCCCCAACTGCCCCCCTTGCCAACCTGATCACCCCCAAATACCACCCCCCCCGCCAGCCTGCTTGCCACCAACTGGCCCCCACCCCCACTAGCCTGCTTGCCCCCAACTGGCCCCCATCCCCACTAGCCTGCTTGCCCCCAACTGCGCCTCGCTGGCCTGCTCACCCCCAACTGGGCCCTCCTGCTGGCCTGCTCACCCCCAACTGCCCTCCCTCCTGGCCTGATCACCCCTGACTGCCTCTGCCTCAGCCCTGCCACCATGGCTTTGTCCATAAGGTCTTCTGGGAGATCTCCTGGTCTGATTAGCATATTACCGTTTTATTAGTATAGATAGATTCTGTGCCATTTTGGGAGATACAAAGAAATATATTGTTTCATTCCTTTCTCTCAAGGCACTTGAAGTTTTACTGATTATGTAACGTGAAATAATTTGAGAACAATATAAATAAAAATTATGTGATTAAAAGCCAGGTTTTATAGTGTATCTAACTATATGGGAGATAAGGTTATTGCTTCTCACTTCCCTTTTATTAATGATTTTTTATATGTATATTAGGAATAAAGAACGCTATTATAAACCTTTTGTTTCTTTTTGGGATTGAGAATGTGTGTCAGTGGTAGAAATAACAAATACCATTTTCCAAGTTACTTACAGATATAATTCTTTTCCTCTTATATAAGCTAGCTGAACTTCAGAAATGAAAGATTGACCTTTGAAATGTTTGGTTCACTGCACATAAGACAATATGTAACTGTAGGAATTTTATATATCGCTGGATTAATATCTAGCTGGAAAAAAAAAAAAAAGGTCTATCATCTGTTTTCACAGTTGCCTCTATGAGTCAGATATCCAGTGTAATTAAGATGGATCATAGATTGAATTTTGATGTATCATTAGAAATATTTATCTATATTTTAATTTTTTCTCACTTTATTTCTTTAGGAGGGAAATTTAAAGAGATATCCAACACCATACCCAGATGAGCTTAAGAATATGGTCAAAACTGTTCAAACCATTGTACATAGATTAAAAGATGAAGAGACTAATGAAGACCCTGGGAAAGATTTGAAACCACATGAACATCAACAAGCTGTAAATAATGATGTGGGTGTGAAGGTTAGAAAACTGAATTCAAAAGAATTAAAACCTACTGTCAAGTTATTTTAAAATATTAAATGATAATTGTTATAGTTATACTTTTTTATACACTAAAATGTACTCTCAAATTTAGGGTGATATTTTCAGCTACTTGAACTAAAAGGTGTGATAATCAGTGAACCTACCTATTTCCTCCGAAAATAAGACCTAGCGCATGGAAAAATAAGACATCCCCTGAAAATAAAACCTAGCGCATCTTTGGGAGCAAAAAATTAATATAAGACACTGTCTTATTTCGGGGAAACGGGGTGGGCATGGGAGTGTCAGCATAAGGTTACAAAAATAATTATTTCCTGAACAAAGAATAAGATAATGGATGTCAGAAAATTCATTGTAATGAAAACACTCCCCACCAACCACCACCCATAATACTGATGCATTCTAATACGAATTGTAAGTTTATTATTGGCATTTCCTTGGGATATTTCAGAAACTACGCAAATCCCTAAATTACATTCCTTAAAGGGACTTTTTTCTCACATAGTATCACAGAAACAATTTTTATTGTGTCACTAGAGTTATTACACATTTCACAATGAGTAGGAAACAATCTAGCCATTCTGAATTTGACCATAGTGAGCTAAGTGACTCACTCATGACCATCAGTTTTGCAATTTCTAAGATGGATATATCTTCAGCTAAAGTGTGAAGTTTATTGGGGCTCATGGACCTTTGGGTACCTCATGTCCCCCAAATCAGCATTTTATCTGAGTGCTGCAGATTTCCATGTTTAAAGTTCCCTTGATTTATGCAGGATAAGAAAACATTAAATTACCTTTAAATTTTCATCTGAACTTTAACCCAAGAATAGATATAAAGCATAAGGAAAATGAGTTCTTTATCTTCTCTTTTACTTAGACTTCAGAAAGTACTGCTCTGGTAAGAAGCAAAGCCAATGAACGAGAAAAGTATATGATAGGAAACTCTATACAGAAGACTAATGAACCTGAAGCTGAGACCACTCCTTTGAATCCACCAGTGACTACAAATATGAAAACCTCTGAGAACTTGAAGCATGCTAATCATGATGCTGTTTTTGAGGTATGGCTTTATGATTATTCTGGAATGATCATAGCAACTGATAAGAATTCAATATTTCATTGTTACTAAATGAAGATAGGAAAGACTTCATATTGATAGCAGAAAATATGCTAATGCATTTACCATTGAGAAATTTCATAATGTTTGCAATAATATTATATCACTCATTTACCAGTTTAAACTTACATTTTTTTGACCCAGTGTACTCAGATATTTACAATGTAAATTAGATTGTGGTAATTATATTTGAGTTCTGTAAAATATATAATAGTAATTGCTTTATTTCTATAACTTGAAAATGAAAAGGTTGCCATAGGTACACTCCAATTATTTGGTTTATTTAAGCATTTATCATTGGTTATGAAGTATTTTTTTTCCTTGAATATCTGAGACATTTTTCATTGGAGTTTCTTTTAGTAGATTAATCAATGAAAGCTGTAGCTTTTTTCTTTTTATTCTTTTTTTTTTTTTTTAAGCAGCTTTATTGAGGCATATAATTCACATATATAACTCACCCATTTAAAGAAAGGTACAGCCAAAATCAGTTTGGCTCAGTGAATAGAGCGTTGGCCTGTGGACTGAAGGGTCCCAGGTTCGATTCTGGTCAAGGGCATGTACCTCGGCTGCAGACACATCCCTGGTAAGGGGTGTGCAAGAGGCAGCTAGTCGATGTTTCTCTCTCATTGACGTTTCTAGCTCTCTATCCCTCTTCCTTCCTCTCTGTAAAAATCAATAAAATATATATATATTTTTTAAAAGATACAATTCAATGGTCTTTAGCATTCTAAAAGTTGTGCAACCTTCACCATAATCACGTTGAGAACATTTTCGTTAACCCAAAAACAAAGTTCATATTTCTTAGCTACCATCACACATCCTCTCCCGTCTACCTAACCCCTAAGCAGTTAGTAATCTACTTTATCTGCCTTTATAGATTTGGCTATTCTTGATATTTCATATAAATCTAACCATACAACTTGTAGTCTTTTGTGATTGGTCTTTCACTTAGCATAATGTCTTCTCTTTCACTTAGCATAATGTCTTCAAGATTATTCATATTGTAGCATGTGTCAATACTTCATACATTTATTATGTCTGAGCAGTATTCCATTGTAATGGTGAATAATGGACATTTGGGTTATTTCCACATGGGTGTGATGAATAAGTCTACTGTACCTATTTGTATGCAAGTTTTTGTGTGGATATACATTTTTTCTTTTGGGTAAATACTTAAGAGAAGAATTGTTGGATCATATGATAACTTACGTTTGAGAAATTTCCATTTTTCCAAAAGGGGTTACATCATTTTATATTACCCTCATAAGCTGCTGGAGGTCTTAGAAAATGGTAACCTGTAACTTTTAAAAATGAGATTCTAAAAGGTTTTTTATTTTTAGGTACATTTCCCACTATCTGCCCACTAGCTCCAAGTGGCTATTTAAATTTAATTTAAATTAAGTAAATACAGTTAAGAATTTAACTTCTCACTCACACTTGCCACGTTTCAAATGCTCAGTTTGACACATCTAGATAGTTAGTGGCTATCATGTTGTTTGTTTGTTTATTGTTAGAAACATTACAAATAGTAGTACATATGTCTCCTTTTTTGCCCTCTTGACCTCCCCCATCCTCCCCTGGCCCCCAGCATATGCCTTCACCTGCCCTCCCCCTCCCCCCTCAGTGTCTTGTATCCATTGATTATGTTTATATGCATGCATACAAGTCCTTTGGTTGATAATCTTACATCCCCCCCTTCCCCCAACCTCCCCTGCCCTCCCACTGTAGTTTGACAGACTGTCCAATGGTTCTTTACCTCTATAACTATTTTTCCCCATTTCTTTTCTTTAAAAAATCTTGCAACTGAAGACTAGAAATAAACATGTAATAACAAAAAATGTTGAGTCCCAATTTCAATGTCGAACAGTTCTGAGACCCAGTTTCAATGTCAAATAGTTCTTTATGTGTACATGTCAGCAATAGATATCTGGATGATGGACAGATGGTGGCAATGCAGGTCCATCCTCTCTGGTTTGGTCTTGGGCAACCTGCATTGATGCACAGCTGCTGACTGCCAGCGTGGCAAGGCGTTGTCAGCATCTTCCATCCCTGGACTGTTTCTCCTTTTGTCTCGGTGGTTGGAGCAGACCTGACAACTCCTCCCTGTTGTAGGAATCCCCATGGTCTTGGAGTAGTGTTCTGAAAATATACAAACGTATTCTCCACCAAAAGTTAACAAAGGAATCTTTTCTATAAAATTGACTTGGGATCCTTTTTATTTTTGCCCAAACGATTTTCCTTTGGCTTATTTTGACGCCCATGTGAGATTTTTAAATATATTTTATTGAATTTTTACAGAGAGGAAGGGAGAGAGAGTTAGAAACGTCGATGAGAGAGAAACATCGACCAGCTGCCCCTTGCACAACCCCTACTGGTGATGTGCCCGCAACCAATGTACATGCCCTTGACCGGAATTGAACCTGGGACCTTTCAGTCCGCAGACTGACGACACTCTACCACTGAGCCAAACCGGTTTCGGCCATGTGTGATTTTCATGGGTGTCTTGCTGTTAACATTAAAAATGAAAATTAATTTTCTACAGTAAAATTTTTCTACATGTAATTTACTTACGGGATATTTTTCCTTACATGATATTACCCTACTATCATTCCTTTTTTTTTTTTAATTAATGGATGGTTTTGTAAATTTTGTAATGTAGTCTTAATAACTTTAAATTTTAATTTTTTTGCACAAAAATAAGACTGCTTTAGGTTCATTTCATTTTAAGCAATTTTACCATGAGATGCACTACCAATAGAAACTTTAGTTAATACTTCAGGAACTGCTTTTTATCCAATACACTTAAATTTTCTTGGGTGTTCACTTATTTCTATTAACCAATTTAAATTAACCTGAAAATTTGACTACTATATTACTGTCAAACTTAATACTCTAACAACAATCTTAGTTTACCCTGTAAATATTAGTGGAAAGGATTATTTACATTCTTGAACAGGCCCTGAGCATTCCTGGTGCTAGGCTGGATTTAGATATAGGACAGCTGCTGTCGGCCAAGTCTCTGCATGTTACCTGGGTCTCAATCTGAGCTGGGCCAAGTCTCTGTCTGTTACTAGGGTCCCGATCTGAGCTGGGTGTGGGAAGCGAAGCAGCCATGGGGGCAGGAGACCTCCCTCAGAAGGGCTGTGGATTCAGGTCCCTGCAAGGGGTGGGGTGGGGTGAGGGTCTGTGCCCCACCTCTGTTTGTCTCCATGTTCTCTCCTGATGGCCCCTCTGCGGCTGTGCCTATCTTGGGTTGTTCCTTCTCTGAGGAATCTTACCTGTCTAGTGCTATCATGCTGAACCACATAAATTATTTCTATCATAGAAAGTCCTATTGGAAATCACAGACATTGGTGCATAGAAATACTGACATTGTGGGTTTATTAAGAGCCTCTCTGTATTCCTGAAAATTTAAATGTTTTTAAAGCACGTCATCTAATGGTTATCCTATGAGCCAATATTTACTACAAGAATAAACTCATCTTTTGAATGTACTAAATGGGTCACATTATTTAATAAATTATATATAACCTAATATAACAGTCTATGAAAAGTTTTTTGGTTTGTCCCAGTGAACTTATTACTCATTTAGTATAATTTCTATGAGTATGGAGCTATACTGGCAGAATTTCAAAATGGGCAAAAATCATTATTAATTTATATTAGTAAATTAACATCTCAGTTCTTCTAATTCCTTGGAACCCAGTGATCCTTGGAGCAGTAAATTTGAGGATTATAGGAAGAAGAGTAAATTCTATCCCAGAATTTATTTTTATTGGAGCAAACTGTTTTTCTCTGTCAGGGATTGTGTTTTATGTATTTTTATTTATCTGGCACCTGGCATAGTACTAGACACACAGTAATCATTAATACATTTGAATTAAGGAAATTAATACATCTGCCTCAGGAAATTATCCCAAAGGTGCTTTGGAATATTGTTAATAACTACCACAGTTTTATTGCTGTATCTTAAAAATTTTTAATCATATACTACTTTTAGTCACTGTTGCTATAAAAAGGTTTCATATATGTTCTAAATATTCTTTTCTCTTTATAAAGTTCTTATGACTTAATATTTATTCATTTAAAAAAACAATCTATTTTCATAAATGTTTTCACTCTTTTCTCTTTAAATTAGGAATCTGAAGAACTTTCTTCTGATGAAGAGATGAAAATGGCAGAGATGCGACCACCATTAATTGAAACCTCTATTATCCAGCCAAAAGTGGTAGCACTTAGTAATAGCAAAAAAGGTTAGCTGTGAAGGAAAACACTTAAGTTTAGAAATGAGCAGAATAAAATGTATAATTGTTTTGCAATAAATTTCATTAAATGTCATTATCTTATTTAAAACACTTTTTAGCAACAATTTTTAAAACATACCTTTTTGAAAGGTCTTTTTCTTATCTTATTTTTAAAGGAAAATCTTGATAGACCTTTTTTCTTCCCTCATGCATATCCACTTACAAGGACATGGATTTTATAGGGAGACAAGCCTAGATTATGATTTCCGTTTCTTCCACATATTACTGTATGGTCCTTGAGCAACCTAATTTTATCCATGTGTACATATCTAATTTGACATAAAATGAGGCTAATGAAGGAGTTTGTTTATATTAAATGCACTAGATTATTAAGTGTACTGAGATCTAGCCCAATACTGGATGTATAGTAGATGTTTGTTGTTATTTTATCTATCCCAGAACTTATTTTAATCCATTCTTTTTCCCAGCCATTCCTTCATTTAACATAAAAGGGGACTTGAAGGATATCTGTCTCTTCCTTGTACCCTTCCCTCACTCCTCCCCACTAGTGTCTGAACATCTCTGTATTACCTCCACCAAGTATTGATCCAGCCATTGCCTTTATGGCATTAATGAAGTTAGCAAGGTGCTCCCCAAATAGCTTGGATTTCATCATCATAATGGTGGTAATATATGTTGAATACTTACTAATTGCTACTTGCTATATGCTAAATATTTTTCATGTTCTCGATTGATCACAATTGTTTCATGATTTGGAATTGGAAGAAGAGGGCTAAATCTAGGAAAGAATTTGTTACATATAGTTTAACATTATTTTAAAAATTCATAATCCGAGACCCTAATACCTTAAAGTTGAATTAGAGAACCCTGTGCTACTGTTTTTAACTATAAACACAATCTAGACTACTTGAACTGAAATATTTGAAACAGCAAAAATACTCTTAATTCGGATTAATGTACTCTCCTATGACTGTGTGTAAATATACTGTTTCTATGATTTGGCTAGAGTTGAATTAGTTAAAAACATTCTTTAGGGTTCTAAGATATTATGTGATCTTTTTTATCATTACTTTTAAACATACTATGTATACTATACTACCTACCTATACTGGAATATGAATATTATCTATTTCTTCTATATTATTGTTACACATAAAACCATCTCACATATGAAAAATTCAGTATTCATGTACAAGTTTTTTAAATGATTTATAAACATGAAGAGAGAGCTGACCTTGTGAAAATCTCTTGATTTGTTTGGTAGTTGTTTTTTGATTGACTGCATTGCTTATTTTTATTGTCAGAATAGATAAAAACAGATCCTTACATGTGTAATATAATTTCTCCCCAAGAAAAGTTGACTTAAGGCTATAAACTGTACTTTGTATTTTTTATTTATTATGACTTTCTAAAATTGTAAATGAGTGGGAAAGCATATTTACTAAAACTAACTGATAGCCTTAGAACACATCACATAATATAATCCTGTCAGGAATTCAAACTAATAAAATTCTGGGTAACCCTAACTTTGGTTATATTTTTAAAAAGTAAAGGTATCGTTATTTTAAAATTCTTTCATATTTGTGTGTATTAAGACTGAATTTTTATAGGTGCCTCTGGTTTTGTATACTTATTTATAAATGCTTTACCTTATATGTTGAAGTCATCACTGGGAAGTATTTCACACAGGATTTTTGGTGACTTTATCAGTGGCTTCAGTGTTTTGTTTTTCTGTTTGTTTCAGATGATACAAAGGATATAGATTCTTTATCAGATGAAGTTACACACAATAGCAATCAGAATAATAGCAACTGTTCTTCTCCATCCCGGATGTCTGATTCAGTTTCCCTTAATACTGATAGTAGTCAAGATACCTCACTCTGCTCTCCAGTGAAACAAACTCATATTGGTATTAATTCCAAAAGAAGGTTTGTAAATATCTTAACAAAATAATTTATTTGTACAAAAAATAGAGCTAGAAATGCTAATATATACATATGACCAAAACAAAGGACTTCACAAATATTATAGAAGTGGTTCAAGTAGCATATGGTTTCTCTTCTACTTTATTACTAATTATTTAGCTTTTATAGATTTCCATTTTAGTTTTTTAAGAGGGGGGGGAGAAAAGTTTAAAAATATGTTCTAATTTTCTTCACTAAAATGTTGAACAGTTCTAGATATTACACCATAAATAACCTATTTGGGGTAGTTCAAATGATGTTTTTAGGATTAGAAATGCAAGATCATTTTGGGGCGATGCCATTAAAGGATTTATTTAAATATTTTTAATTAGTGATGTATCTTTGGCTTAGACCTGAATTTATAGGTCAACTTCTATGAAAAAGACTCCTACATGTTGAAATTTAGCTGAAATTTAAAACAAATTTATTATTTGGGCTCCCAAAAAGTTTGGTTATCAAAGTACCATTTTACTTTGATGATTAGAAATACAACACGGCCGAAACCGGTTTGGCTCAGTGGATAGAGCGTTGGTCTGCCGACTGAAAGGTACTAGGTTCAATTCTGGTCAAGGGCACATTGGTTGCGGGCACATCTCCAGTAGGGGGTGTGCAGAAGGTAGCTGATCAATGTTTCTCATCAATGTTTCTAGCTTTCTATCCCTCTCCCTTCCTCTCTGTAAAAAATCAATAAAATATATTTTTTTAAAAAAAGAAATACAACATGGAGGTGCTGCTATATCCCTTTCTTAGCCTTTATTTCATTACATAAAAAACATGATTTAGGTAAAAAACATTACATAAAAAACATAATCAGGAAGAGTACTGATGGAAAGATTTGGCTTAATACTGAACCCAAAGCTTATTGAATGAATATTGCTAAATATTTTTTAGAGTTTAATTGTATAGTTAAGTCAAATTTTTGTATGTATTAATTTATATTGTTGGAAAATAAAAGTGCCTTTTGTATATGAAATGAGTTTAGTTGTTATGTAGTTGTAATTATGATTAATCATTTATATCTGTCCTCTCAATTTGAGGTTAAGACCTACTATGGTAAATTATTGATTTTTATAACCTTTTAGGTGTTAAAATAATGATTAGCCAAAACCGGTTTGGCTCAGTGGTAGAGTGTCAGTCTGTGGATTGAAAGGTCCCAGGTTCGATTCCGGTCAAGGGCATTGTACGTTGGTTGTGGGCACATCCCCAGTAGGGGCTGTGCAAGAGGCAACTGGTCAATGTTTCTCTCTCATCATCGTTTCTAAGCTATTTCTCTCCCTTCCTCTCTGTAAAAAATCAATAAAAATATATTAAAAAATAAAATAATGATTAATTTAATTTAATAAAATTTTACTGATGTTGGGAAGTAGTTTAGTAATTTCTAAATCATGTTTTTTATGTAATGAAATAAAAGCTAAAAAGGGATATAGCTGCACCTCTGTGTTGTATTTCTAATCATGAATATTATTTGTCACCTAAGGGAAGATTAATACTAAGGAATATTTGTTGAAATATTAACATATTTTTTGAAATACAACTTAAACACACAATTATGTTTTCATATTACCAAGCAGAAATAAAGTGTTTTCTGTAATTTTGGAATGTCACCTTTAAATATTTCCCAAATCCAATGTATTTCCCAAAAATTTACTTTCAGATTTTTGTATGTTTTATTTGTTTGTTGGGGTTTTTTTGTGTGTGTGTGTGTGTGTGTGTGTGTGTGTTTTATTATTGTTGTTGTTAACCCTCACTGAGGATTGAGTATATTTTTTTCCATTGGATTTTAGAGAGAGAGGGAGGTATAGAAGGAAGGAAGGAGAGGGAGAGAAGGGGAGATGGAGAGAGAGAGAAGGAGGGAGAGGGAGTAGAGAGAGAGATCACTGTGAGAGAGACACATTAATTGGTTGCCTCCTACATGAGACCCCACTGGACCCGTAATCACACCTGTAACCGAGGTAACATGCCCTTGACTAGGAATAGAACCCGAGACACTTTGGTGCACAGGCCAACACTCGAACCATTTTGCAACACCAGCCAGGGTTAATTTCAGTTTTGATCTTCATATTTTGTAGAGCTATTGTTTAGTTCTTTATATCATTTCCTTATCTATATATTTGAATCTAATAACTTATTATGATAACTATGGCTAATAATAATAATGTTTCAGAATCTTTCCTAATAATAGACAAACATGTAAATTGACTGTACCTCTGCTACACCACCAGCCAACCAGGAGTGATATGCAAATTAAACCAACAAAGATGGAGGTTAATTTGCATACTCGGGCACCTAATGATGGGGGTGGGCAGGATGCAGGTGTTCTGCCCCACCCCCAGTTTCTCAGGGCCTCTGGGCAGTGTGGGAAGGCAAGGCCTGAGCAGAAAGAGGCGGCTCCGGGGCTGGGCCGGAGTGGAAAGGCGGTGCTGGCAGCCAGGGAACGAAAGGCCCATTCTAGCATGAATATTTGTGCATCCGGATTCTAGTTATTCATAAAAATGTTCTGTGTGTTTTACTCACCTGTTCAAATTATTGGCTCTTTATCTGTGTATCTTCCCATCTTTCAAGCATTTCATATTTTAAAATATATTTTTATTAATTTCATAGAGGAGGGGAGAGGGAAAGAGATAGCAACATCAATGATGAGGTGAGAGAACCATTGATCGGCTGCCTCCTGCCTGCCTCCTATTGGGGATCAAGCCCACAATCCAAGTATGTGCTCTGACTGGGAAAGAACCGTGACCTCCTGGTTTATATGTTGACACTCAACCACTGAGCCACGTCGGCTGGGCAGGCATTTCATATCTTAGCACATTTGTGAAAGCTATACCAGAAGAGGACACATAATTTTTTTCTTTATTTAGCTCAAACTATATTGTGACTAAGTGATTTATGATACTGATGAAAATTAATCTTGATTATAAATTTTCAGATAGTTTTACTTTTCTCTATTTAATATAAACAATTGGGATTTATGATGTTTTGATAACATTATTTTTGTTTTAGGCAAGAAGATGAAAATTTTAACAGCATTTTACAAAATGGAGATATTTTAAACCATTCAACAGAGGAGAAATTCAAGGTTCACGATAAAAAAGATTTCAACTTGCCTGAATATGATTTGAATATTGAGGAACGATTAGTACTTATTGAGAAAGGTATTGACTCAATATCCACATCTGATGAATCTCACAAATTAGACCGTATCAATATGAATCTTCATAAACTTATAACCAATGATACATTTCAACCAGAGAGAATAGAAAGATCAAAGGCGCAGGATATGGTGCTTGGAACGGCCTTTTTAAGCATTAATGCTAACGGACAAGCTGAGCGCTTGGAAAATGGAAACAAGTGTCCTAATCTGGAATGTTTAAATAAGGTGAATGGACATTCTGAGGAAACTCCACAGTCTCCTCAGAAGACTGAGCCCCACGACACTGATCCTTCTATTGATGTGGGTATTTCCAAGAGCACTGAAGATCTCTCCCCTCAGAGAAGTGGGCCAGTTGGGTCTGTTGTGAAATCTCATAGCATAACTAATATGGAGACTGGACAGCTAAAAATCTATGACGTTCTTAGTGATAATGGACTTCAGCAGCCAAGTGCAACAGCTAAAGTCACATCTACTATGGATGGAAAAAATATAGTCAGGAGCAAGTCTGCTACACTTTTGTATGATCAACCATTGCAAGTTTTTACTGGTTCTTCTTCATCTTCTGATTTAATATCAGGTACAAAGGCAATTTTTAAGTTTGATTCAAATCATAATCCTGAAGAGCCAAATATAAGAGGCCCCATAGCAAGTGGCCCACAATCTACACCTCAAATATATGGTCCTCCACAATATAACATCCAGTACAGTAGCAGTGCTGCAGTCAAGGACACTTTGTGGCACTCCAAACAAAATCCTCAAATGGATCATGCCACTTTTCCTTCTCAGCGCCTTCCTCGATCAGAGAGCACAGAAAACCACAGTTACGCTAATAAACATTCTGCCAATATGAATTTCTCTAACCATAACAATGTTCGAGCTAATACTGGATACCATTTGCATCCAAGACTTGGCCCAGGAAGACATGGGGAAATGTGGGCCATCTCACCAAATGACCGACTCATTCCTGGAGCAACTCGAAATACAATTCAGCGACAAAGTAGTGTGTCCTCTACAGCCTCTGTAAATGTTAGTGAGCCAGGTCCCACGAGGCGGGCCCAAATCCCTGAAGGAGATTATTTATCATACAGGGAGTTACATACAGTGGGAAGAACTGCTCCAATGATGTCAGGATCACAGAGACCTCTTTCTGCACGAACATATAGCATTGATGGTCCAAATACATCTAGGCCTCAAAGTGCTCGACCCTCAGTTAGTGAAATACCAGAGAGAACTATGTCAGTTAGTGATTTCAATTATTCACGGACTAGTCCTTCAAAAAGGCCAAATGCAAGGGTTGGTTCTGAGCATTCTTTATTAGATCCTCCAGGAAAAAGTAAAGTTCCTCATGATTGGCGAGAACAAGTACTACGACACATTGAAGCCAAAAAGTTAGAAAAGGTAATTAAACATGAGTTTTTTCATTCTCACGAATTTACTGATTTTCCTTTAAAAATTTGGCATTCGTTATTTTTTTTTTAATCAAGGTGAAATAAGATACTCTAGATTATTGAATATATAGGATTTCCTCAAAAATGTATGCGTACACTTTGAATAATTATAATAGCAGTGTTTATTAAAATACATTACATTTTCAAAATTGAGCTATCAGCTGTTGAAATGTGTATACATTTTTGGGGAGATACTTTATATACTTATATTCTAGGAGTTTTTCCTTAGTGCTGACAAATGGAGTTTCAAGTTCCAACTTGTCAGACTCGGAACAATTGAGATGGTAGTATAAGCTTTTCTCCCATCTCATACTCCCCCATATTTTTTGATAGGTTTACATTTATATATTTTTGTATATATCTTTTAGATTGTGCCTCTGTTTAGCATTTTCTGACCTCTTTTCATCTATTAATAATTGTTGAATATGTATGCAAAAAATAAGCAGTTTATTGTACAGTTAACAGAAAAACAGATGTGCTATAAGTGTAAATATTTCATCTTAAGATTTTTTTCCCCAGTTATATGACTAACACTGTCACTGACACAGATGGCTTCTGGCATGGCATTTACTCTTCGAATTGCATTTGTGACCTATTTAAACTCACTTGTCTGGCTCTACTATAGAGTGTAATGTTTGTTTTTTTAAAGAAGTTACAATTTTTAAAATATCCTGTAAAACTGATATATTAATGTCCTGTGCGCAAGTGTATAAGGCATATTCTTTCTTTAGGATTTAGCTTGGTACATCTCAGTGGATTTTACCCAAGAATTATCTTACCTCTGTTTATTAAATATAAGATACTGTTGTTTTTTTAATATACAACCTCAATTAGTCATTATTTTAAAAAATTACTTAAGTCAAATTTTTCAGAAATAAATACCTAAAATGTGATTAGTACCTTATATCAATCCACATTGCATCTCTGCCTGTAATTGTTAGCTCTATGCAATGCTGTCCTCTCAACTTTAAATAACTAAGCCATCTCAAAGGTTAGGTAACTTCATTCTCATCTATTTTCATTCTCATCTATTTATTGTGTTTCAGCTATAACTTTGTACATACAGTTGAGGTTCTTTGAACTTGTATGTTTTTGCTGACAAGTTAAAGGAGAGGAGTAATATAGCTGTTTTATAAATAAACTTCTGGTGTGGAACGGGGTTAAAGGAGAGGCTACTGAGTTAAGTCGACTGGGTGATGAAGCATCTAGTATTCATCCAGAATATACATGAGAGTGTATCAATGGAATTGAGGCAAAGAAATGAATTTAAGAGGCAGTTCTGAAATAGACTTGATAAGAATTTACTTTTGATTATAATATTCCTGTAATCAGTCATTGAATCAAGAAATTAAACTTGAGATTGGTGCCTGGAATAACTGGTTTTGAGGAATGCCAGTAACTGCTACTGAACATAGAGGAGCAATAGCAGATTTGGAGGATGAGATGAGTTTATTTACTTTACTATACACTAACTATACTATACTATACTATACTATACTATACTATACATACTATTACTATATTATACTATACTATACTATGTTATACTATACTAATACTATACTATACTAATACGATATTTTACTATACTATACTAAATATTAATATTAGTTGACATCTCTGATAGCTATTCTCCCATTACTTTCATGTCTGACACAGAGTGCCTGGACTTTAGTAAATGTAAGCAAGTAACAGCCACTACATTGTTCACTGTGCTTCTCTGCTTTTTACATTTAGAAATTTGCCATTTGGTTGCTTGGAGATACATGAAAGTAGTGTTTCAATTTTGCTGCCCACTGGTAATTAGAAATGAGAATTTAAGTGAAACTAGGAAATACACAGGGAGATGTGATGTACACTCCAAACTTGAAAGTAATGATTGACAATGGTGAAGATTGATGAAAGATCTCTATTTGCTCCTTTATAATCCCCCTTTCTCCCCCAAAATAATTCTGATGTTATGGTGGACATTTGAAAAACTTCTTCAGGGAATTGCACAATCTCTTTCCTACCTTTAGAGATAAGTCCCCAAATCAAAAGTTGCTACTTTGTCCAGCTGGTAGTTTATTAATAATACAGAAATAGATAAGTTATTGACCCTTACTTGGTTTTGAAACATTGTGGTAATCACACCTCTCCCACTCCAACAAACTACCTAGAATTCACACATATAAAGTAGATTTCAGCCGAAACCGGTTTGGCTCAATGGATAGAGCGTCGGCTTGGGGACTGAAAGGTCCCGGGTTCGATTCCGGTCAAGGGCATGTACCTTGGTTGCGGGCATATCCCCAGTGTGGGGTGTGCAAGAGGCAGCTGATTGATGACTCTCTCTCATCGATGTTTCTAACTCTGTATCTCTCTCCCTTCCTCTCTGTACAAAATCAATAAAATATATATATATTTTTTTAAAAAGTAGATTTCAAAAATCTCAAGATTTATTTATAAGTAAAATTTAACAACACTGACAATGAATAAAATTTTTTATTTCAATGTTGAATTATTACTAAATGTCAGCATGTGCCCATATTATTAAATTTTTTTTTAAAAAATTAGATATATAAACACTCAACCAGAAATGATTAAAAATTAACACAACATGATCATTTTCATGTTCATTTACTCTTATGCAACTGTTTGCATGCAATGAAAAACAATGCTCAGGACATTTGCCCAGTACTGGTCTGTTCAGTGTTTCCATGTGTTGTGATGGAGTGCAGTTTTTTTGTTTTTTTGATATATTTTATTGATTTTTAACAGAGAGAAAGGGAGAGAGATAGAGAGCTAGAAACATCGATGAGAGAGAAACATCGACCAGCTGCCTCTTGCACACCCCCCACCAGGGTTGTGCCCGCAACCAGGGTACATGCCCTTGACCGGAATCGAATCTGGGACCTTTCAGTCCGCAGACCGACGCTCTACCACTGAGCCAAACCGTCTTCGGCTGGAGTGCAGTTTTATATACGTGTCTGAGCACAAACCTGAATTAAAAACCAGACCTGTTCTGAGCATAAGCTTTCTTATTCAATGAAGTATTTACAGAACGTCATATATGTTCAAAGATGACACAATAAATAGGCTTTTTTAAAATCTACATGTCCTGCCGGGACCGGTTTGGCTCAATGGATAGAGCGTCGGCTTGGGGACTAAAGGGTCCCGGGTTCGATTCCGGTCAAGGGCATGTGCCTTGGTTGTGGACATATCCCCAGTGGGGGGTGTGCAAAAGGCAGCTGATTGATGACTCTCTCTCATCGATGTTTCTAGCTCTCTATCTCTCTCCCTTCCTCTCTGTACAAAATCAATAAAATATATTTAAAAATAAATAAATTAAAATAAAATAAAATCTACATGTCCTTAAACAAGGTTGGTCAACCCATTCAAGTTAAAAACATGTTAAAACAAACCATGTGTGTATGAACTATGTGTATAATTTCTTTATTTTTACATTCTGATCAGCTTTTTATGGAACTCTGACTTGCCCCTGCTAAATCTTTATCATGAAATGGTTTGGAAAAGTACAGGCCTAGCTATTAAGTTAGCTTTTTCTTTAGTCATTACTTTAAAATCCACAAAATTAAAGTATACCTTGTAATTTTATAGATCAGTTTCATTCTGGAATGCCATGTTAATGTTTCTTAATAGTAGACATCAATTTCATAATCTGGAGAAGGTATATATTTCCTAAGAGTAACATAGAAATGCTTGTAATGTTTTCATATTTCTTCTTTACATATTTCTTCTTTACAAGCCATGCTCAAAATGTGATTTCTCTCAGTTTTACCATCAGACTCTCAATATTCAGGGACATGACTGAAAGCATAAACATGAAAGAACAGTGGTTAATGACTCTGGAAGTAAAGAAGCAGGAATAATGAGAATCAGGCAGTGCATTTATTGAGGTACATTTTTCAGGCAGCCTTAGGATTAGTGAGTAGACATTTACATAAACTCAGTATTTGGAAAGATTCTATCAGTGGTTCTTTGTACTTAAGCAGCAAAAGGCACTACAAACTCCTAAAATATAATGGTTTTTAATATATATTTATTTGGATGGGAGAAAGTTCTTATATGTGCACTTTCTAGTTTTTGTTTTTATTTTGGTAATTATAGAGCAGTGGGAGCCTTTTAAATGTTATATCCTAAAATTCTGTGTTTAGATTAAACTTTAGCAATGGCCAAGAGCCTAGTATGTTTTGCCAAATATAATTTGTGCTATATTATATATTTAAACTCTGCATTTATTTAATAAGATAACTTCTATAAAACAAAGCAGACTCTTGAAATTTATTTTGACTTAGAAATAACTGGTTGTTGGTAAAATTTACCTTTAGAGAGGAATTAGTTTGTGTCCCATATATAGCTGTACAGTTATATGTAGGTATGACATCAATTCTTATTTTTTGATGTCTATACTTGAATGGTAGGATTACATATAATTTGTGTGTATATTTGTATGTTGTCATGTTTCTATATGGTAAATAGTGCCAGTTTCTCTCAATGGCACTGAAATTCCATGTTGCATGTTATTTCTGTGTGGTATTGGGCTTACTTGTAAATGAATCTATACATAATATGTCTTGTGAATTTTGCATGCTACACTAATCTGTTAAATCTATCCCCTCTTTATTCAGAGCATGCTGTCAAGGTCCTTTAGTTCCAATTTTACTGCTGTAAGCAGCTTTCACTGTGGCAGCTCTAGGGATCTGCATGGCAGCCAAGGCAGTCTTGCCTTGAGTGTTGCAGACGGAAGAGGTTCTGGTGGGCACATTTTTCGAGTGAGTACCTGTAGTAGACCAGTGCTTTTAGTGCACCGAAGAGAAATAAATCCCACATTTTAATGTTTTGACATTTCTGGAAAATAAAATTTGCTGTGGGTTTAGCTCTCTTTTTACCTCCCAGTTCCACCATGGCTTAGTGCTAAAACGTGCTGATTTAGTCTTTATCTCTTAGGTTTCTATGGTCATAACTATAGAAACTTTTTTATGTAAAAATGGGTGAGCAATAGAATTAACTGAGAGGGGTTAAAAATTATTATTTGTAGTGCTTTTTCTCTTAAAATCAGCTTACTTTTCCTAAACTCAAGATTTTAAGATTGTGCCATATGTAATCCATAGAGGAGTTGTGGGGAACAGTAATTTTCATGTCAGTGATTTGAGTATTGGCAAAAAAAAAAGCACTAAGAACTAAGTGGAACTAAGTTTGATCATAAGTAGCTAAATATGATTAAAATTGAGGCTGAGAAATTGTAATAAGTACAATGAAAAAACAAAATGCAAATTCTTTATTACCCACATTTTAGCCATAGTCATTCATGGTGAAAATGAAAGGTTTATTCTTTTAATAGTGAAAATTAAGGATAGGGTGTAAGAATAGCAGAGAAGGAGAAGGAGCAGAACAACTTAGGCTTGGCTGTTATAAGGTTTTCTCTTCCTAATAACTTGAGGTAGTAGCATAACCTCCAAATAAATTTCTCTGCCCCTCTCCTTCCGTCCTGAAAAGACCTTTCTCCTGTATGACCTTGTTTTATCCCCTCCTCAGTTTTGTTTCCATGTTGACTCTGCTTACTTTGGGGTGCTTTGCTTTTTCCTGAGCATCCACTCTCCCCATCCTCACCCCCTCTTAATGTATTTCTGGTTTGTTCTAGGATAGGAGCTTGGCTGTAACTGTAACTCACCCATCTTGTTTTGCCTTTTGTCACCTGACAACACTTGGTTTCCATGTTATGTTCTAGTGGCAGTAATCATTTTGTAACTTATCAGATTGAAACGGGGAGAAAGAAGGTGATGGCTATTAAGCCCTGCATTTCTGGCACTATTCCAGCTGAAGTCACAAAGTAAAGACAGGAGCTTTTATTATCTCAGGGGTAATCTTATAGTCATCTGGAACAATTGTTCTTTACAAATTCTTATAGTAATATTTTTTGCTTGTTATTCTTAAATTCAGAGCCTTTGAGTCTTGTTGCATTTTACTTTTTCAATTATACTTGTTCTTTTAAAGATTAAGTAAACATAGTTGAATTTTATGCATTCTGAAAACATATCTGAAGAATAAAGAAGGAAAATAAAAGTTTTCATTGAATAAATACACAAAATTAGACCAAACTAAATCTAAAAATGCTAAGCCATGGTTTGAACTACCAACTAACTATACATGATAGATCTGTTGCAAATACAGTTTCTAAGATTACATTATCCTGTGGCATATCATAATGAAATAGATTCAGATTATTTTTCAACATGATGTAATTTGCATATTTATATTGCTAGCCATGTACTGTTTTGAAAGTAACAATTTCTCTAGTTTTCTAAAATATAGCTAAGTGTATTCAGAATGAAATTTAAATGAAAATTTTAGGTATCTTGCATCCCAGCATATTTTTAAGAAATGTTTAAGATAATGAAATTGAGTCTACTTTTAATCTAAAGCTGTCAGTGAGATAAGCTATAATATAAGGGTATCACTTGACATATAAAAATAGGAATTCTGGGTAGTTCATTTTAAAAACATTTCCTCAAACCAGTGCTTCTGAAAATATGGTGCTGACTAATAGTGTGATAAAATTAGGGTAAAATAAGTTTTATTTAACAGTATATTTATTGGTACTGCTTATCATTTAAAAGAAAATCCTCCGTTATACTATGCTGTTGAAAGAACATCAGGTAATTTTTTTACCAAAAAACTTTTTATTGTTCTCAACATGAGTATATTTTAGTTGCTCTTAAAATTTGGGACTCTTAATTGGATTAAGAATGTTGCTCAAAGTATTCAAAGCTAGCTATTAAGCTATTATTGTGAATAAAACTAAAAGCATTATAAAGAAATAACATTGTGTATCTGTATATATGTTTTATATATTATAAGAACAAACAGCCCTAGCTGGTTTGCCTCAGGGGATAGAGCGTTGGTTGACCTGCTGACTGAAGGGTCTCGGGTTCATTTCAGTCAAGGACATGTACCTGGGTTGTAGGCTTAATCTCCAGCCCTAGTCAGAAAAAAAAAAAAAAAGAAAAGAAAAGAAAAGAACATTTTGCCATTAACTTCGGAAGACGACTTAAAGTGCTAGTTTTGTTTTTGTTTTTCAGTTTTATTGAGGTATAATTGGCATAACATTGTATTAGTCCAAGGTTTATATCCTGATAATTTTATGTATGTATGTATATATTGCAAAATGATTACCATGATCAGTTTAGTTAACATCAATTATAAAGGTACTCAGATTGATGGCAGTTGTGATATTAATGTTTTATTTGGTTCTTCATCTTTCTGTAGTGCTATTTTTTTCCTAATCTCTCAAGTGTCATCATCATTTTGGTTGTACATCTTAAAGATCATTACTTGTTTACTCTTTATTTTCCCCTAACTTGAAGCATCCCCAGACATCCTGTCCAGGAGATCCTTGTCAAGATGATATATTCATTTCAGGACAGCACAGCTACTCGTCAGCTACACTTAGTCACAAAGATGTTCCTCCAGACAGCTTGAAAGTAGGTGCTCAGGAACTAAAGTGGTATCTGTGAGCTTACTATGTTTGTGGTTTTTGAACTAGAAATATCATAGGTGCTTTAACACTTAAAATACTTTTTTGAGAACTTAATTTCCTCCCTTGCTTATTATTATAGTAGGGATTTATTTTTATATTATTATTATTATAGTAGGGATTTATTTTTTAAATAATTGAGAAATAGAAAATTGTATTCTATTTTTCAATTTATTCCATGATTTTTTTTTTATACTGGCGAATTATTTTGTTGCATTTTTTTTGCATTTCTATAGTATTACCTACTTGTTTTATTATTTGAATCAGAGGGATTTTGGCATTCATGAGAAACCTATTTAAAGAGTTAAACTTGAACCAACCTTAAATTCTTCATTTGAGATTGTTTTACTATTACTAGGAGCATATTAAAATACTTTAAATGTAACTAAAAGTAATTAGAAAGGCTTCTGCATTTGGTAGAATAGATGATGGCTTATTCTTACTAATTTTATAGCTAAAGTGTCACTCAGAGTGACATTTGGTCTGTACTTTTCTGTTACCAATGCCAGATAGATAATTCTTTTTTTCATATATATATATATATATTTTTTTTTTTTTTTATTGGTTTCAGAGAGGAAGGAAGAGGGAGAGAGAGATAGAAACATCTATGATAAGAGAGAATCATGGATCGGCTGCCTCCTGCAGGTGTGCCCTTGACTGGAATCAAACCTGGGACCTTTCAGTTCGCAGGCCATCGCTCTATCCACTCAGCCAAATCGGCTAGAGCGATAATTATTTTCTTTAGTATACTCTTTTTCTTAACTAATTCCAGATCCTAGTATAACCAGATATAATTATGAAGCATAGTTATATAAATTTTTATATTGTTCTTGAGAGTAGAAACCCAGCCACATAACATTTAACTTCATATGTATCTATCACTTTTTGGTTTTTCTTTTAGTTTAGCTCTGTTACCAGGTTTTATTTTTATTTTTTTCATTTTAAAATCCATTGTATGTTTTATGTTGCTGAGTCTGTTTTATGCTTTTTATTGCTCTGAGCCACCTGTGTATTACACATAGCTTAATATATTACATGAGTACGTTTAACATTGATGTAGAAAGTCGGGCACTAACAAGTATCTAGGTGTCAAGGAGCCTTAAGGATGGGTCAGAAGGAATTATTGTCTGGAGAATTCTCCACAGGAGAAAAGTGTTGAGTCTGCACATAGGGAAAAAATGGTAGAAATATGGAGGAAAGCAAGTGCTGTCTTCGAGTTGTGTGTAAATAACAAAGTAACAGCACAGCTGCTTAAGTACTCCTACGCAGATAATCATCACTTCAGATCTACAGTGACCGAGTGGTAAATACCCAGTAAAAGGTTTTTCAGGGAATTCTGACGTCTTTGTACCAATGTCATCTGTCAAAAAACACTCACATATGTGTCTAGTCTACAGAATTAACTAGCTTCTCAAATATAACACAGTGAAAAACAGGACTCTTAAAAAGTAAAAACCATCTTTACCAAAGTAAGGTTTACAAAGAAAAGCATTTCCAATTTTTCTACTTTTGGATAATTTTAGGGAAGTAGGGTTCAGATATTTTCCTCACAATTTTTCCATGATTTCCTTGTAGATGAGGTCACCTTTTATTAATAATCAATAGTGATATTTAAATGACTGAAGAGCTTAAACATATTTATTTCCTCTTCAAATCAGAATCTTTCACATTCAAATATTTACAATGCAAATGTAACCTTATTTGCCAGAATAAGCTATTAGCAAAATGCTACAAAGGTGATTTTAAATTCAGATTTAATCTCTAAAAATGAAAGACGTTAAACGAAGGTAATTCTTTTAAAACACCAAAATAATCTCACATATTTTATTTAGCATGTTTAGAAGTAAAAATAGTATGTCAAAGCTTCATTTTTGTAGTTACTATTATATGGAATTAATATTTAGAGAGTTTTTAAATTGCTAACTGATACACACACCATACTGCATAAATGAATTGGCTTATTAATTCTGGAAAGAAAGTAATAAAGATAGAAAAGATACAGGATTAGGAATATATTTTAGCAAAAAATTACTTTAGTTTTAAAGAAAAACCATTGGCAAATGCATGTTCTATGTGCATGTGAGAAATTAAAGATAGTATAGGAAAGGATACCCTTTTAAAGGGCTTTCTATCATCAAGCACTCAGACAAGTTTAGAGTTAAAAGATAAACTTTTTTTAGTATAAAATTTTAAAAAAAAATAGTATAAGTGGCATGACACTGTGATTTAGAATGTTAACCTCTAGTGCTTTTGAAATGCTACAAGAAGAAAATCCAACTATTTGTATTAAGACATCATTATTGGTCATTTTAAGACACTTCATGTTTTTCTTAGATGCCTTTGAGTAATGGACAGATGGGCCAGCCTCTCAGGCCTCAGGCAAATTATAGTCAAACACATCACCCCCTTCCTCAGGCATCTGTGGCAAGGCCTCCCTCTAGAGAACAACTAATTGATTACTTGATGCTGAAAGTGGCCCACCAACCTCCATATACACAGCCCCATTGTTCTCCTAGACAAGGCCATGAGCTGGCAAGGCAAGAGGTAAGAATGATCAAGAATATTTGAAATATGAGACTAAGCTTTTATTGTATTTTATAGGTTATTTAATTATTAGCAATAAATCCATATAGAATTTTAACATAGTTTTTTTTCTTAACCATTTTGTGTTTAAAGGTCTTGTTTCCTGTTAAGTTTATAGAGTATTAAACTTTGTCGTTTATTTTGACTGTATGACTCCAACCCCATTCTCATTAATTGACATAAGATATAGTGTTTTAGGCATGATTTGCTTCCTTTCCTAAGGTGGTTATATTCCCCAAACTGGTTAATGAAAGCAAGAATTTAAGAATATAAATAAGCCATTAAACTTTTTTTCAATATATATTTTTTAATGTTGACAGTGTTATAGATTTCTCCCATTTTCCCCCTAGACCATTAAACTTGAATTGGCCTGTTGTGGTTTTCTATTGTTATTTGACACTCAGCTTGTAAACTTGATGTTAGTCTCCAAACTACTTTGAGAATTAAATCTTACAGATTACATTTTTTTTAAAGTAATATATTTTGATAGCTTATTGATAAAGTGATATTATTAGAAACTTAGAGAACAAACGCTTTATTCATTTTTGGATCTATGTAATGCCCAATAGACAGAGATGCTATGTAGTGTAGATGTTTCATAAATAGAAACTAAAATGTACATGTTTTATGCTATATGTCTTTAAGACCCATGTCTAAAAAGTACAATAGGGTTAACATTAATTGGTTGCCTATTCTCATAAAATACCAATAGATTAAGTTATGAGCCTTGCTTTATAATCCTAGCTGTGCTGTTAACTCACTAACTCATTAACATAATATTCCATGTCATTGTTTCAATTCATCTGCCCAAATATTTGTTGTAGATGAATACATAGTTATGTTTGTTACAACTTAATGTACCAATACTTAACTATAGGTTTTACTGTGTTGCAACTTACCTTATTTTCATATCTCAGATTCGAGTGAGAGTTGAAAAGGATCCAGAACTTGGATTTAGCATATCAGGAGGTGTTGGTGGAAGAGGAAACCCATTCAGACCTGATGATGATGTGAGTTTTATTTATATATCCTTTGAAAAACTTATAAAGTTTTATTCACTATTAATACCTCTTATCCTATATAATAAAAGCCTATATGCAAATTGACTGCATGGTGGAATGACGGGTTGCTATGACACGCACTGACCACCAGGGTCAGACACTCAATGCAGGAGCTGCCCACAGGCCCCAGGCCAGCCAAGGCGGGTGGCAGCAGGGCCCCCCTCAATCATCCCGCCAGTCACCCTGCAGAGGGAGGCAGTTGGCAGCAGCCACAGGGTGATGGGGGGCGGGGGGCAGGGGCGCTGAGGGAGGCAACCAGCGGTGACTGTCGGGGGGGGGGGGGAGGGGAGGCAGGCCACACCAGGCCATCCAAGGTGGGTGCCAGCAGGGGCCCCCAACTGCCCCAGTGGTCACCCTACAGATAGTCCCTGATCACCAGCCAGGCCTAGGGACCTATCCATGCATGAATTTTATGCATTGAGCCTCTAGTACATATGTAAAAATCTGCCGAAACCGGTTTGGCTCAGTGGTAGAGCATCAGTCTGCGGACTGAAGGGTCCCGGGTTCGATTCCGGTCAAGGGCATGTACCTTGGTTGCAGGCACATCCCCGGTGGGGTGGGGTGCAAGAGGCAGCTGGTCGATGTTACTTTCTCATCGACGTTTCTAGCTCTCTATCTCCCTTCCTCTCTGTAAAAAATCAATAAAATATATATTTTTAAAAATAAATAAATTTTAAAAAATAAATAAATAAATAAAAATCTAACAAGTATTTCTGTAAATCTAGACAGACATCACCTTGTTATTTCCTTTGGTATTGTTCAGCTTTTTGTTTTGAAATGTGATCAGTTTAATTGTTTGAGGAATACAAATTTAAACAAATATTTCAAATGATCCTCATACTCTAAAGTGATTTTTAACTTTGTAATTATTTTTCTGTACATCTCTAGAAGTAACTTCATCACTTAAACAGAAATAACTATGCTGAATTATCAGAGGCAAAAATAAAAATAATAGAGTTGGGTTGCCCTGTCAGTGTGCTCCGGGGTTAGAGCACCGGCCTTCTCACCACAGGGTGACGGGTTTGATCCCCATCCCTGCTCTGGTCATGGGTGGGAGGCAGCCAATCAATATGTCTTTCTCAATGGATGGTTCTCTCTGTATCTTTCTATCTCTTTTTTCTCTAACCCTCTCTTCCCCTCCTTTCCAATCTTTCTAGAAAAATCAACAGAAAAAATATACTCACTCTTTGGATGAGGATATAAAATTATAATAATAATAATAATAATAATAGGGTTGGTTGTCACAATGTTTTCAGAGAGGACAAGGAGAAATCCTCACAATTAAATATTTGCATACTGGGGAAGATTGCTTCTTGGTACTCTGTTATTTATACATACTGCTTCCCATTAAATAATTTTTTTTTGTTTTGTTATTAAAGGGTATATTTGTAACAAGGGTACAGCCTGAAGGACCAGCATCAAAATTATTGCAGCCAGGTGATAAAATTATTCAGGTAACTAAGATACATCTTTTTATTATTTTCTGTACTTTTTACTTTGTAACTAATCTGCCTTCTCATCAAGAAATTATTAAATGCCTAATTTGAAAATAAGCACTTTATGAAGTTTATCTTTAAATATTTATGGATAAAAAGAATGATATTTCCTATATGCTACTCTAATACTTTAATTGTTTAAATAATTTCCACCTTGTACTGTGGAAAATCATACTGATATTTTTAATACGTGTTTGATATATTTTAGTTCAGAAATGGTAACATCTCTAAAATAAGGTGATGAAAGAATTTTTGTTTAATTAGGAGAATTACAGTATTTAATTCATGGGAGCACTTAAAACTGTCTAGCCTGGCACACAGTAAGACCTCAATAAATATTTAGCCTAAATTATAGGAAATAGTGTTCTTGATCTGTTACCCTGTAACTTGGTGACTTTAGTCGCACGGTAGTGCGTACACACAACACTGACAGCACTGTGTCCTTGACAAGTATTCCTGGCACTGGCTGTTATGTAGGAATCATCTGAAAATACAGGTTCCTTGATTCCACCTTCAGAGATTCTATTTTAGTGCTCAGGTGTCTTCAATGTTGTTTTCAATTGCCAAAATCATTCTTATTTTCTGCAAATAAATTACTATGAAATGTATTTTTTTTTTTCTTTTTTCTTTTTTCTTCTAGGCTAATGGCTACAGTTTCATTAACATTGAACATGGACAAGCAGTGTCCTTGCTAAAAACGTTCCAGAACGCAGTAGAACTCATAATTGTACGAGAGGTTTCCTCTTAAGAACTGTGGACAAAAAGGGGAAAAGAAGACAGCAAGATTTATTGGAAGATATTTGCAGGGGAAATTAATATTTTGACTATTTTTATATATAAAGAAGAACTCAAAAAAAAATTTCAAATTTGTACATTAATGAAATAATGGAACTTGTGGCTAGAGGGAAAGAACCACTGTACAGTATATAGGGAAAATTGTTGAATTCAAACCATATAAAACTTCTTGTTAGGTTTTTTAAAAACATAGCAATCAAGGCTACAAAAACAAACGTGTGTTGTTTTTGTATAGATTGTAGGTTTATTTTTGGATTTCATACCGTAGCCCAGAGACAGATGGCAGAGCTAGCTGTCCCATAGCTCTTATGCCCTTATTTTTATTCAACTGATTATTAATGTTTTTCTGCTGAAAATTTTTTTTTTAATGTGGGCAAGAGATTTGAAGTGTTGGCTTTTGCTATGTGCATATTGAATCGCAGAGTGAGCAAGTGAAGGTGGTGCTGGTGGGTTCACTTTCCAAGGCCTGATTAAGTTAATTCCTGTAAAAACCTAAAAGCAAAGAATGAAAAAACAGCTATCTGTCCATGTGTTTTTATTAACAGAATAATGCAATAAAAATGTAATGTCTTTTTAAAGAAATAAAAAAGACGATGATTGCATTTTATGAGCTCTACAGGATCTATCCTTGTCATAAACATTGACTAGATAAATTTCCTACTGGTGATTCGATTTTCCATTTTTTAGTCACAGGAAATTTTTAACTATTGTAGATGTATGTCCATGCTTTTTCTGTGATACGAAAATACCTTGATTTTTTTTTTTTTTTTTTTTTGGCAAATTATATTTGCGACTTGTTTTATAAGTAGTATTTCATTTTAATCTTAATTTATAATTTTTATTTGAAGCAGCAAAGGAAACTAAAATGGCCCGTTTTAAGATTGTGTTGCTATGACACAGAATGTAAGAAGATTCAGGAGAGCCTCTTGCTTCTGGGTGGCCTCCCGTTGCCTTGGTAAAGGGAAAGGAAAGCACGCATGGAGCTAGGAAACCAAAGCAAGTCTGAGAAGCTGGCACAGCGAAGGAGCAGTGCTGTGGAGGGCTGTAGAGCAAAGGCATGGGTCCTGTGGGCCCACCAGTGTGTGAAGGTGTCCAAATAAAGGGCTGTTCCTACAGGCAGCATTAAATGTGAACTTGACACTTCAGAGTCTTTAAAGGGTTTCTAAGTGTATCAGTGTAATAGTGTTTTACCACCAACTGCCTTTGTTGTCATTGGTGTGAGAAATATTGGGTAGAGGTTTATTAATTTTGTTTATCCAAACAAAATTTTTTTTGTTTTGTTTTGTATGTAATCAAATAAAAATTGAATAATATGCAATGGTAAGAATGAATGCATGAATAATTGGACCATAAAAATGTGCCATAGAAGACCAATAACTGTTTTTATTCTAGCTGATCTAGAGCCTTTGATTAGAGCAATATTCAATTATTGCAATTCATTTTTAATTACTAAGAAATATAATTTTTGGAATTTTAATCTGTTATTTTTTGTTCTTCAACCTTGTTTTAATTAAGACTTTTATAGGACTAGCAAAAACAGCCATCAACATTATTTTGCAAAAGTGAGTTAGACTCCAATTCCTTTCTTGCTAGTCAGAGTCAATAGGTAGTACTTTCAAAAAGATGTGAACTCCAATATTGCACTTCTTTCAAGATGTTATCAATTGGTTATTGTACTGTGTATAGTTTTAATAATATTGATTGAAACCCTTTAACAACTCTTTGTAAATTTTAACTCATTTTTGTTGATTTTCAGTACTATTTACATAGGAATTGATTTTTATGGATATAGTAGAAGAAATGTGCTGTATTTTGATAAAATTCATTTATTGTATGTGTTGTAATCTCTAAAAAGAATGACAAACAGCTTCTTTAAGATAAGCCTTGGTGTTTCTTTATTCATAGTTGATTTTAAAATATTTTGGCATTGTAATTTTACAATGTAATTTCAATACATGTAATTTTACATTGTATTCCACATCATCTTTAATTTCAATTTTTCAGTCAATATTCTGCTTTTACTAGGAATACATAAAATAGATAAAATTATTACATTTTTCAACTACCTTGAATTAAATACATAAACTATAATTTTAGAAAAGGAAGTAAGCCACAAAGAACAATTGATTTGTCAATTAGTATCTAAACTTGATTGTCTGCTTTTATATTGAAATACTTCAAGTACGACAGGTATTATTGTATACACTAGTATTTTTTCTACTCTAGTTAATTTAAAACATCTTTTAATATTCTTGTAACACAAAGTTGAATAAGGAAATTTTTGTTACCAAGAGGAGTAACATGATACATGATATAATGTTAAAAACTAATAGCAAAAAGTTTTGCACTTAGTGTAAATTAATAGCTAAAGTTCTCTTCTAAAATACTGGAAAGTTGAAATGAAATAACAAGGGCTCTTCATTAGAACTTTTGGTAATGATAAAGTTTCAAAATTTAAATAAAAAGTAATTCAAATCTTTTGAGAACATAGAAAGACATTTTTAGTTTATATGAAATTGATTTGCAGTCAAGGCCTACACCCATAACAGACTTTATTTTAATAAGTATCATGTAGCAAACCATCAAAACTTATTTTTAGTAACTGTTTAAAATTGACTACCCTAAAATTTTAAACCATTAAAAGTTATGTGTTAAGGGTAATTTACTCAGTACAGAATTGTATCCATAAAGCTAAAGTTTTTTCTTTTTTTTTTTTAATATATTTTATTGATTTATTCACAGAGAGGAAGAGAGAGGGATAAAGAATTAGAAACATCGATGAGAGAGAATCATCAATCAGCTGCCTCTTGCACACCCCCTACTGGGGATGTGCCCCCAACCAGGTACATGCCCTTGATGCCCTTGCCCAGAATCGAACCCGGGACCTTTCAGTCCGCAGGCCGACGCTCTACCACTGAGCCAAACCGGTCCCAGCTAAAGTTTTTTTCTTATTCATTAAAGAATCATTAGTTTACTAAAATCCATGAAATTCTAAAATTCCCTACTTATTTATTTTATAATTTTTTTTCTGACCTTTTTGGACTTAAATGTTTGTATACTTTTTAAGAATTTAAACACAAACATTGCTATAAATAGAACTAAACTTTTAAACATTAATTTGCTGTTTAAAAAAAATCCCATTAGCAGCTATGTAATATTTTTATCAATCAACATAAAAAATTCCAAATTTTTATATATATATATCTAGATTGTTTTAAGTAACCACAGTGAGTAGGTAATAAACTAATGCTATTTAAAGTTGTGTGATTTTATGAAATTCAGGGTGAGAAGAATTGTTACAAAGAGAAAGATATACAATTATTTTTTTGACCACTGAGAAAATCTATTTCTGGGTATGGAGGAAGTATTGTATTTTACTTTAAAGGAAACCAGTGGAGCCAGGACCGGTTTGGCTCAGTGGATAGAGAGCGTCGGCTTGCGGACTGAAAGGTCCTGGGTTTGATTCTGGTCAAGGTTGCGGGCACATCCCCAGTAGGGGGTGTGCAGGAGGCGGCTGATCGATGACTCTCTCTCATCGATGTTTCTAACTCTCTATCCCTCTCTCTTCCTCTCTGTGAAAAATCAATAAAATATATTTTAAAATAATAATAAAATGAAACCAGTGGAGTATGAAATACTTTTCAGTTAGGTTGAAATTGGTGAACAATCCAATCTATTTGGGATATTTTTTCTCATTCTTTTGAAATTCTTATAGCTTATCATTTTGGTTTAAGGTACATAGATTTCTTATAAAAAAGACATTGAAATTAAAATAATTTCATGTGTCATCAAAAGCATAAATACACATAGTTGATGATGTACAAAGGGGAAAAGATCACTTTTCTTTTAAAAAGTAATAATAGGCAGCAAGTTCAAACTGTTAAGTATTTCCCTTGTCTACACTAATAGAGAAATAAGCAAATTGTACCTCCCCAATGCCCATCAGCCAATCAGGAGTGGTTATGCAAATTAACCCTACAAAGGTGGTTTTAATTTTCATATGCTGGAGTGGCAGGGCAGGGTGCCTGCTATGGGGGGAAGGGGAGAGCAGAGGGAGCTAAAGGAGCTATGTTCTGGCAGGGAGCAAAGATTTTTTTTTTTTTTTAATCTTTATTGTTCATATTATTACAAAGGTTCCTCATTTCTTCCCCCCCTCCACCAGGTTCCCACCCCACCCTCCGCCCCCTCCCCATCCCCCATTGTCCTCATCCATAGGTGCAGTTTATGTTCAGTCTCTTCTTCCCTCCCTTTCCCCAATAGTAAATCCCTTTTCAGATAGTGAATCAGTTACTTAGCATTTTCTCAAATCAATAATACCTCCACATGCCCAATGATACACTTCACACAAAAGACATTTCCCAATAGGTCCATCAGCCTCATCCAGGCCCCACCCAAGGCACTCACAGATCAACACCCCAGCCCTATACTAACTCCACACATCCAGATCTAAGCCTTCATCACTTGATTTAGCAGACACTCAAGTTCCCACGAAAGTTGCCAGCCATGTCTGAGAAGCAGCCGTGGGGCAGGGGCAGGCGAGGAGCAAGCTGTTTCGGGCCTGGCTGCTCAGGGCCTGGTCTCTGTTGCTCTGGTTCGTTCCACAACCAGCTGCTCCGGGTCTGGTCACTGCCGCTCCAGACCTAGTTGCTCTGGACTTGGCTGCTGCTGCTCCGGGCCTGGCCGCTCCCAGCCTGGCAGCCGCTGCTCCGGGCCTGGCCGCACCCGACCCGGCTGCTCCTCCGGGCCTGGCCGCTCCCAGCCTGGCAGCCAATGCTCCAGGCCTGGCCACACCCGACCCGGCTGCTCCCCCGGGCCTGGCTGGGAGCAAAGATTTTGAGACTCCTGGACAGCCGGGAGCAAAGCCAGGGAAGGAAGGCCTTTTTTTTTCTTTTTTTTCTTTTTTTTTCTTGCACAAATCTTCATGCAACGGGCCTCTAGTTTCTAATCAGAGGT